GCCAACCTAGGGAATACAGAAAAGATTGAAGGAAGGAGAAGTAGGAGGGTTTGAACGAATTTAAGTCACTCTCAGAACTAAAAATGATTCAACTCAAAGTTGAAAATTACACAATTTAATGAAAAATGATCTCAGACTAAAAGAGAAATGTGTAAATTTTGCTTACAAAACTACACTGATTCATTTCTTATTTAAATTTGGAGAAAAAGACAGTTTTACAAGGATTTTTAAATTAAATAATATTTGAGAATAGATAATGACAGTTATCTTAGACAGTATCAGTTATACAACACAGATTATGGAAGTGGACTATTTTGCCATAAAACACACCACAAGAAAGGCAAAAGAAGCAGCAGCCCCTCGTGTTCTGAACCCCTTTGTTGAGTGTGCCAAAAATACTTGGAGACAGTTGAGAGGAGAGATAGATATCTGCCCACTTAAAGCTATCTGGAATAACGCCATATTCATGCATCCTAAAGAGGAGACAGCAGGTTAATAAATTAATAATCACTATACAAGTCTGATCTAACCTAAATAATAAAACATTTTGACTTTCTTATTTAAGAGTTTCAGCCTCCTTTCAGTTAGACCAGACATATCCTAGGCAGGCAAACAGCATTATCCACCATTTGAAAGACAATTATTTCACAATTATATGCAAAGTGTTATACAGTGTACCATGGTAAATATAAAAAATTCATCAGGCATGAATAATGTCATCAAGAAGCATATGTCTAATAGATGTCTAATAGAGGAGATAACAAAAGATATATGTATAAATAACTACAACATAAGGTAAAAATCTACAGAGATATAAATGAAAAACCATAAATGTTCCCAGACAAGGAGAAAAAACATTAGAAAGAATATTCACACTTTCAAGGATTCCTATTTGATATAAACAACAAATGTCACAGTTTGGTTCTCCGAGTTTGTAATCTTTGTCTAACAAGCTATGCTGCTTTTCACCATTAACGTATCTTTATCTGTTATTAACTCTCACAGTCTACATTTGTTCATTTTTAATTTTCCATCATAATTTTATTCCATTTACATTTACTTTGTGCTATCCCTGAAGATATTTATTTTTCCTATCAGCAGTACATAGAACAAGCTCTTGCTAAGCAATGAAGGAAAACTGATGTCATATATAGAAAAGTCATATTTGGTCCTACATACTGTTAAACAGAAATAAAAGAAGAGAATGATACAAACAGTAACAAAGATTTTTTTTCCCAGTTCTATATCCATCTAAATCTCCAAAAAGTCCCTTCAGTTCCTTGCCCATTGAGAGTAAGGTTCAGAAATGAGTTTCTAGTTGAAAGAAATAACCATCTTCAGTTCTAGTTGACTGATAAAATCATCTTCAGTTCTGCTTCTAAACCAGACATGATACCTAAGGCTACTACTCCACCACCTTTCACTTCACAACTTAGATTCTTGATCTGCTTGTCAAAAGTAACTGGAATTTATTTTACAACTTACTTATACGGCTACTTAGGAAACTCTAACATTAACTCTAGAAAAGACACATAAAAAAGAAAATTACATAAAAATCTGAAGGAAGATGTAGAATGAAAGAAATCAGCCTTTAGTTTTCAAAAGAAATAAAATGTAATCATTATCCACTTAGTCCACTAACATAAATGGGTTTTTATAAAAGTAAACCAACACTATTAGCTAAAACAAAACGAAAAAAGCTTACCAGCAAGAAATCAATGTGTCATTATTCAACATTTCCTTTAACAGACCACATAATTCTATCAATGTTAAAATATTCATGTGTTGCACAATCATTATAGCAGGTATTTACTTCAGATGTCAGTTCTCTTTATAGAAATAAGATAAACCTTAAGGTCAGAATTTAAGCTCCATGAAGGCAAGGACTTCTATCTGTTGTATTCATTGCTTCATTCCAGTTAAACCCTGCCTAACACATGGAAAGTTCTCAACACAAAGCTCAGCTAAAGTGTCCTTTAAAAAGTCTCTGGTTCTCAATATCTGCTGTAAGAACTGATGAATGAATGTCGGAAGAAATTCTGTCAAAACTAAATCTAGGAAATATACTGTGCCATGGAAGAAGGGAAAGTGCCAATGTGTAACTAGATTAAAATGACACTGTTATCACTCTCCTTTTATATAAAGGAAAATGATTTTAATAAACATTAATCAACAAGTTACTACTTAACCACATCATTTAATATAAGTCAGCTTGCAGTACTACAAATTTTGTCTTGTATTAAGAGTAAAATATACCCAAAAAATGAAGAAATAAAACAAAAGAAAAAGTAAATGGATCACTTCTCTCCAAGTTCTTCAGCTTTACAGATTTGTAAATAACTAAGATATTTTCTTTATCAATTTTCTATTACCATTAAATATGTATATCAAGTCATCAGTATTATCAAATGTTAAGAAAGCCACTATAAAAACTGGCTTTGGATTTTATTTTGTCAAAAGTAAAAAAGATTTCACTCTTCTTTGCTTACATTTATTTTCTACCTGTATCTCCCTCAACATACTGTTACCTTTTGAAAACAATACTCGGACCTGTTGCCTACCTGTTGAATTATATCTACCTCTGCCTAAATAAAACATATTCCTATGAAAAATCTCAAAAAGACTTATTTAAGAAGTCAGTTGTCTTAGTTCATTATCTGCTGCTACAACAAAAACCTCACTGGGTACTTTCTAAACAACAGAGGTTCGTTGGAGTCACAGTTCTGGAGGCAGAACTGGCAGTCCAAGATGGTGGGCTGCATCCAGAGAGGGCTTCCTGCTGGTTAACCTGGTAGAGAAGCAAGCAAGCAGAAGTACAGAAGTGTGGACTGGGAACACAAAGCAATTGGCATCTGCTGTCAATCAGAAAAGCAGTACTGGTGTGGTTTTTACACACAGCTCTAACTGCTGCTTCTGTTTCCCTTCAATTAGCTAATAACTGCAAATCACAGGAAAAAGTAGGAGGGACATCTGAGTAAGAGAAATATTTTTCAGGAAAAAAAAATCAATGCTATAGTGAAAGATAAGCTTAGGATAAGAATATATCAAAAATTTAGTTATTAGAATCTTAAATATTTGAACAGGTATCAAAAATTTATATATAAATTCCGATGAATTATAAATTTACATTAGGTCCAACCTATACTAACCTGTGAAAGTGATTACTTATAACAAACATTAAAATTTGGCTCATTGACTATTGAAGTAAGTATCTTCAGAAAAAACAATGAGGAAGAGTTGTTTAGATATTCAGATCTTGGTCTCTTAATAGGAAATATCTCATATTAAAGACTACACTATTCCATACGGTGATTCCATATTGAATGTTCTCTTATCAAACGTGGCAGCTCACATTCATGCCATACACATTAACAGATTTCCTCATGGATTTACAAATGATGTAACAGTTTTAACCCTGAATTTAATGGCCAACAGCAAAAGATAAAAGATTTGCCCAGAGTTTTATGAGATTGCATTTACCTATTTAAAAGTCTACAAGACTATTACACGCCATAAAAACAAGTCCCTGTGGCTGACTTTGATAATCCCTTTTCCATGTTTGAATCCTGTCATGCTGCAGTATCACTCACTACTGCTGACATGGGTCATCTGAAAACTGCACACACAACACGGACACAGTCCCCGCTTTCCAACTTCGCTGCATACCAATTTCTACTCTTCCCATTAAGTTCTTCCAAAAATTCCTATAATTAAAAACATATACAGATGTAATTAAAACCCACCACCCTATAACCTTGGCCGATTTACTCAGGCTTTCTGGTCCTCAGTTTCCTCATCAATAAAATGGGAATAGTAATAATAGTACCTACCTCACAGTAGTATGAAAGTTAAGTGGTTTAATATTTGTACAGCATTTACAACAGTGACTAACATATTGTTTGCTGTGACTATTATGAAATATTTTGAATACAAATTTTTAAAATTTATAAATTTTATATATGATAAAAACAAACATTACTATTTTCATTGCCATTCAACTCCCATTCAAATTCTTCCTAAGTATACATTCACACTGAGAAACACATACAAATCCTCCAGTACACTGTAAATGCTATAATCCTTCAGGCACAAACTTTTACCCGCTAAGAACTAGTTACTGTAGCACAGAAAAAGGTGTATAATTGAAGTAATTCATGCGGAAGTAAGGCAACAGCAAGCTCAAGACAACAATTTATGTGCTACTTTTTCAATGAGCAGTGATATGCTAAAAATTATTTGCAACAAATTATGGTTTATTTTTTTAACAGAATCTGAACCACTTAAGAACCATGTAGACCAATCCATTTATCATGAAAAAATGCCTAACTAAAGTTAGAGAAAACAATGTTCTTTGCACTACTCACTTTAAGTACTAAAATGATCCCATCTTTTTACTAGTTTGTAAATATCATATCACCGTATCACCTAACTTTGTGCAGTTTCTTCACATTCTCAACGCCAATGGCCTGTTAAAGAGAAACTCTCATTTAAAAAAATACTACCACAATAAACAAAGATACTACAGTCTACACTAAGAATTCCTCTAAGTTGAGCTCTACATACAGTATAATTCACCCTCCCTGAAAACTGTAGCCTAGTTTCCAGGGAGTTAATTTGTCTTCACTACCATAAGAACACATTGCCCTCTGGGCCAGGGGTTTAGCTCAGTGGTTCCGGCGCCTGCCTCACAAGCACAAGGTCCCGAGTTCAATCCCCGGTACCAAAAAAAAAAAAAGAACACATTGCCCTCATCACTTACAAGTAGTTAGAAAAGTAACATTCAGTTATTATTAAACAATTACACTTACTTTTAATCCATGTACTATGCAATACAAAACTCAGTTTCCTTCATTAAAGCTTAACATCTGTAATTATAAGCATTAAAAGCAATTATAAATGAAGCCCAACTGTACAGTACTGATAAATGTACCTCACAAGGTAAAAAAAAAAAGTCACTTTTAATAACTGCACAGTACCCTAAATGGCATTCTTACTGTTACCTTTTAAATGCTTCGGCAGGGTTCCTCTCGCATTCCCCAGGCTGTAAGAGGCTTTGGACTGCCGGATCTCTCAGTTTGTCCTCATATCCTGGGAGTAGTCCACTGTGGCAGATCTGGGAAACTAGGCTTCTAACAAACCCTCCAACACACAAAGTATCGGAGTCCTGGGCTTTGCAGAAATGAAAGGCCAAAGCCTGGCGATGTAAACCTCTCTGCAAGCTTGTAGGTGAACTTGGCCACAAGAGCTCAGTGCACAGAGCTGTCTTGCCACTGCCAGGCCCTCCTGTCAACAACACACCCCAGGCAGCTCCCTTTCCAGAGACAGCACTAGCATTATTCCCAGAATTCATCACAAGGGGTGGTACGTTGACAGCACTGTTGCAGCAGTTTGTTTTCTCTTGGAGGCAATGCTGGAGCTTGTGGAAAACCCATTCCCTACAGTAAAACTGCTTCCCTTGCAGTAAACTCGTTTGGGCCATTTTGCAGACTTTCTCTTCCCAAGGGTTAGTCATAATAGGGTTTTTATCTTCAACATTTGCTAGAATATGGATACATCAACACAGGTCTTTATATCCATTTGGACATAATTTGCAAATTCAGCTGACTTTAAATGACAAGAGTAACAAGTCACAGTAAAATTCTACAGCCACAGAGTCCATTTGGCAACAGAATCTGCACGACTTTCTTTGGCTCCATATTCTTGATTAGCAGAGCACATATTACATTAATTGTTGAACTGATGGAAACAAGACTGGTGCCAAAGCTCAGCAACACTTTTGCTGTATCTTGATGGGCCATACAACTCCATGGTCGTATCTGGAGCTTATGTGATTGTAGATGTTTCAAGTCTACAGATGAGACAATACATCTGGAAACTAAAGAGAAAGCCCAATCTTTCAATTAACATGAAATACTTTTCCAGGTGTTAATGCTGTATCTGAAATGCAGATGCAGAAAAGCTGCCCATTATCTTAAATGTCATCAAAGATAATACATTTATACAGTACTTAGGTAGATCTGTATTTCTTGTTGAAGGATGATCACTAACTGTTCTAGTTCTTGCCAGTTTCAGGCATCTGGGTAACTGCCGGGAACTGTTTCAGATTATAGTTTCTTATGTGGCAGAAATGACAAACCACTGTTAACACCTTCTTAATTCAAAGCATTCATAAAATGCATTTTTCAAGACAGCAGATTCTTAATGAACCTGTTCACAGCTTCCTTGACTCTACGATGTCCAGGTAATCAACAATTTCCATAAGTAACTAAAATGAAACAAGCAAAAATATCTTAGTACTAAATATGACACGTTAAACGTGTATTTATCAAAGGACACAATTCATCAATTAAGGTAATCTCAAAAATCTACATACTTCATCTCTGGCACTTTCAGAAAGTTGGGTGATTACCCCAAGATTAATTCATTTTCTGTTTTGTATTTTTCTTCCTCTATGGTTATGCTTCCGAAGCGGCCAGATTTTAATCAAGTTAACCTGATTTTTAAAACCTCTCTGTGGAAAGTGGGGGAAAAGATACTTTAAGCAAGTAGAGTAACATCCTTAATTCCAGCCAAAAAGCTCTTTCCAACTGGCTTGGCAGAAGAGCGCCACTAAAGAAGCGCTATTAACTTGCACGGTCCAGTCAGTCAAGGACTCGGTCTACTAGACTAGCCACACTTCTTTGTTGATAGTTTGCAAAATCTAGGGAAAGAATACCAGGGTTGCAGCTGGATAGGAAGTGGTTAAAAAAATAATAATAAGGGGAAAGGGATGATTGCTCCTATATGATTATATGAATGATAAATCAAACGCGAGGAAAAGGTAGCTCTTTCCTTTCTCTGAACCAAGGACGGCGGTTCAGGATGGGGGCAGAAACAGAGTCTCCACTTTGGCCGGAGAAAAGGCTGCAGGGGAGATCCTCCCCGAAGCAGGAAAAGAACAAGGAGTAGTGTGCTTCAGTGCTGGTGGGTGTCTGCCTACAGTTCCGGCCTCGGCTCGCAGACAGACAAAAGGAACTCCGGGATTCCCAGCGCCGGGAAGCACCCAGCGTCCCAGTCGCCCCCAGGAGCCACAGGGGAGCCACCTCGGAGCAGCCGCCAGCGAAGGTGCAGACGCGCGCCGAGGTCTGCGCTGACCGAGCCCGAAGGGCCGGCACCCGCCCCGCCCGAGTCCGGGTGTGTCTGTAGGGGGAGGGGGTGCCAAGGACCCCGCCAGTGCCGGCCGAGGGATCGATCGGGAGATCGGGTCCCGCGCTGCGCACCCAGCGCCTGCCCGGCTCCCGCTCCCACCCGCCCGGCGGAGGCAGAGGTCGCGACTGGAGAGCGGGTGGGCGGGTGAGGTCCGAGCTCCAGCTGCAGCCCGAGTTCCCGACTCGAGGCAGGGCCTCGCTCCGGCCGCCGCCGGCCCCTGTTACCTCAGCCCGGGCACTTGCTCCGCTGAGAAGCCGCCGCCAGCAGCGCTCCCGCGGCCGCACCGCAGCCGCCTCCTCTGCCCGGCCCGGAGCTCGCTTCCAGCTCCAAATCCGCCTCCAGCCTCCCGGCGACTGCCAGTTCCAGCTGCCCCGGCAGCCCCGGCCGAGCTCCTCCCCACCCCCACCGGCCAACCCCGCCGCCGCCGCCGTCAAGCAGGGACCGTCTCCCAGGCCTGGCCCCGCCGGCTACTCCGCCCGCGGCCCCGCCCCGCCATCAGGCCCCGCCCCTTCCCGGCCTTTCGGAGCGCGGCCCCGCCCCCACCCGTGCCTCCGAGCGCCCCAGCCTGGGCGTGGGCAGCCAGCGGCACCGGCGGCCTCGTGGCGTGGGGACCGTTCCGGGGCCGGCGTGGGGCTCCGCCTTCCTCAGGGGAGGCGGGGCCGCGTTCTCGCGTCCCCGAGCTGTCGCGAGTCGCTACCTTCACCCCCGCTGTCGCTCTCGGCCTGAGGCTTCCTTTGTCTTCGCGGCCGGAGCCGCTCGCAGGCGGAGGGGCCTGCGGTGGCTCCCAGGAGGACAGCCTGAGGGGAGTCGGCCCCCCGCCTCTCCGTCACCCCAAGGTCGCCCAAGTCCCGGTTCCTGCCCCTCTCTCGCCCTGGCCTCCTCCCAGTCCTTCACATTCCGGAGATGCTTTTTTACTTGTCACCCCGAGACTGAGACCGAAGGAAACAAACGGGAAAGAATGTTGAGAACCTGGAAGTGCCGGGGACACGGTGGGGTGCTGGGCCGCCGGCTCGGGACCCGGACCGGGACGGTGCGGCGTGGGTGACAGAGCGGGGCTGGGACCCGGCCCCCCGCCCCTCGGTCCGCGGGCGCAGGGGAAGAGCAGTGGGTCCCGAGCCACCCCCAGGCTGCCCGCCCTGCGCGGTTACTCTGGGACTAGACTTGTTTGCACTCTTAGAGCTGGTTTGTTTAGATTCCACACTTTTGCTGGGAAAATGAATGCACACACAACTGATGGCGTGAGAACTACCTTGCCTTTGTTACTGTTTATGCTGAAACGAAGAGCTCTTTATCTCTGGTTCTTTATTAAGTACGTCTGTTTCCCAAAATAATAACCAGTCTCCCATCTGGTTTTCGGAATTTTAAGTTATAGCTATTATTCTTAACTAGAAAAACACCTCAATTTTAATCATTTGGATACAAAATGTAATTTTATCCCATTAAAAACAGCAGCCTATTAAGAAATTCTACCCATAAATTGAGGTATTTTAAAGCACAGTTGTAAATTTCAAAATTAGGTCTATAATGTTCACGCTGGTGTCAAAAAGTACATTCATTTTCTTGCTTGACCACGATAAATTTCAGCTTTTTAAAATTTGTAAGCCCTGTTTTCAATCATTATAATATCTAATTGCTGTAAAAGTTCAAATGATTTTAAACCAAAGATGGAAAAATGTGGAGGACACATTTTAGTCCTATAGTTTAAAAGGTATAGTTCTCACAGGTTTATTTACAAAGTAATGCATTAGAAGTTAGTACCAACAGTCTTTCAGATTATGTTACAAATTTCAAGAACTGTTCACTAATCATTCAGCCTGCTTGCTATTTATGCTGCCACAAGGTGACACAACCTCTATTTCACATATTCTAGATATACCTCACGCTTAATTTTCCACATTTACCGCTGAATCTCAAAAGTGGCAACATGATGGTTCATGTATATGCAAGGTGGCAGCCGAAGCCTCGGCACACTGGACTAGTTCACCAAGTACCTGGTGACATTAACAGCCCTCAAGGTTTCTGTGATTACTACCAAGCCCCAGAGTTGCTGGAACTGTGCCTGTATGTGTGTGAATGAGCTAGCCACTCCTATCAAGCCGTATTTTGGCTTTTTTTTCAGCTAGTATCCTTTACACTACCTTTGAAAGGAAGGGGCTAGTTACTTTGAATCTGAAAAGGCCCAGGAAAAAAGTTATTCCTGGCAGCCTTTCAGATTTCCCCACAAATTTAAAGAACTCTGTCCATGTCATCTCACACGCTATTAGACATGGCAGAAGCTGGAAATAAAACAATGAAGGTCTATCAAACCCATCTCAGAGTATTTTAATGCTACTTTTAATAAAAGTATTTTTACACAAACATATGTGTTACGTTACTTACGTTGATTGAACTTGATGGAAACTTAGACCATAAAGAAGATTTGATTGACATGGTAAGTATAATGATGAGAACATCAGTTGTGGTTACTCCCATAAATAGCCTTTTAAAAGGATGCTTATTTAAGCTTTACATTTTAAAAGTACTTGTTGCCAGCTATATTCAGTTCTGTTCTTGAGAACATGTCTAAAAATAGATTTTGCTTACAATATGTGTAAGGTATGGGCCCTTCCTTCAAAGAATTAACCCCTAATTAAGAATTATTTTGTAAAATTACCAGCCAAGGACTATGAAGACTTTCTAGCTATTAAGTGGCTGGGTACAAGTAGCTGATCACCTTTGTTCTGTAGGCTTCTAAATAGAGCAAAAGCTCTTGGTAGACCCCAAAATAATGCTTATAGTACACATGATAACACGAATCCAAAATTTATATTCCTCTCTACATCTCATACACAGCAAGGGATTTTAAAAAGCAAATTAGAGTCTCTAAGATCTGTATGTCCATTGGATTTTCATAACTGCTTTTTTCTACTCTTTCTTCTATAGCTTTGTATGCAGTTTAAATGACTGCCTAATGCCAACCAAAATCACATTTCCCTTTTCATCAAGTCTCTTGTTCTGATACATGCCATCCAGAAGTATTTGCAGAATCACACTTTAAACATTTGAGAACAGCTGAAACTGACTTAGTAATAAGTTATATTCTTGACTTCTGTGTCATTTGGTCATATATGATATTAGCAATAATTAGTAACATTCTAATTTAAAACTAAGGCTAAATGTCATTTATGAAGGTGAACTTTCAGGAATTGTATTTTACCCACTACACATTAACATTAGAAAAACTAATCAGTTGATTTGTTGCACATAATTTACTCACTTGACAGGTTCCCAAGTGAATGGAAGATACTATTTTAGTTTTTGTCCTCAGGCTTTCTGGTCTTCTAAAACCACACCTCATTTTTTCTCTAAGTCTCTTAACTTGCTAAGCCAGCATGTCTTGGCATTTGTAACCTCAGGAACATAGCTCCTATTAATTTGGAAGATTAATACAGTGTACTAGAAAGCACAAGAAGAAACTGAACGGACATGCTGTGGAAATAGCACATCTTATAAGAAATGTTCCTCAGGTCACGGAGGCTCCCGTGAGTTCCACACTTCCCAACCTATACACCTTGCCAGGGGACTCAGTCACATGGCACTGTGGTAATGGCACAGGCACATAGACACAAGGCCTGTGGCAGATTGCTGACTTTTTAGAAAGTTTCACTTAGGTTTGTTCATTAAGCCATGGCCACCCAGAAGTAATTCATGATTTTCTCATGAGTCAGTTTTATCTCGGTGCCTACATTTCTCACTGGCACACTCAGCCTAATATCTTTTGCTTTATTAAAATTTATTTTTTACTTTAATTTTTGACTAAGCTTCTTCTGTTTGTAAAAATTCTGATAGAAAAATACAACTGAAATCCCAATCTACACTGAATTTGTTGTAGAGCACTATATGCCAAGTATCTTAAATATAAAACACAGTGCCCTGTCAAAGATGATTGCTATACTAGAAACATGCAAAATACCACCTACAATTATTCTCTAAAAAGTACATGTACAGATTTCCACACTCTTGGAAAAGGAAGCAACATTTTTATGCTTTTTTTCCTCAACTAGCTACCTAAATATGGTAGCAAGACTCCGAAGCTGCTATCAATGAATCATGCTTCCTGGAGTTTATGTCTTTAAGTAGTTATCTTGTTGGCCTGAGACATTAGAATGTGGCAGAAATGACACCGAGTCAACTCCAGGCCTAGATTTGAAGAAGATTGGTCTTTCCTGCGTCCTAACTTGGAATGCTCACTGTCATTAGAGAAGTCTGGCCTAAGAGGCCATGTAGAGTGACCACACAAGGAGACCACAGGGAGAGAGCCTGAGATCATAAGGAGAGGTGGAGTAAAACAGCCAGCCCTGCATATCAAAGGATGGTGGGGTCTTGGGATGACTCCAGCCCCAGCCACAGTTAACTGCAATTTTATGAAGAGCCCAAAGTGAGAACATGAAAGAATTGTCCAGGCCAGCTCAGTGGAACCACAGAAGCATGAGCACTATCAAAACGATTGCTGTTTTAAGGCCCTTTGTTATAGGAGTGATTTGTTACATAGTGATAAGTAACTTAAACACAATTTGATGGAAACAACAAATCCTCTAGTGTTCCACAAATACGAGTTGAACATCCCTAATCCAGAAATCTGAAATGCTCCAACTACAAAATTTTTGAATGCTGGCCTAACATGACAAGTGGAAAATCCCACCTCTGACCTCAAGGGATGGTCAAAATACAGGAGCATTAAGAATATTCTGTAAAATAATAAACCCTCAGGCTCTGTGTATAAAGTGCACATAAGACACAAAGCATAAGTGAGTTCTGTGTTTACATTGGGTCCCATCCCCAAGATATGTCATTAAATGTAAGCAAATATTCCAAAATCTAAAAATAAAAACAAATACAAACTCCAAAGTACTTCTGGTCCCAAGCAGTTTGGATGAATGATACTCATTCTCTACTACATATAAATTTATGTCACTTTCCACATTTGTTTTCTTGGGCAATTGATACAGCTCTGAAGAACTGAACAACAGGCTGTTGCTTATATCATTTTGATTTTCTTTGGTGCATACACTAACCGTTTGACATATAGTTAGAAAAATGAGATTAAAGTTAAAGAAATGTTTAAGTCACATAGACAATGAGAATTTATATTTATTTCCAAGTGCCGTTTCTCTCCATTACACATTGCTTAATGCATTACAAACTTTTAGTCACTAAGGAAGCCTTTATTATAGCTGAGCAGGCACTCACATGCTCTTTCCAGTGTACAAAACCATCTGGTTGCAGCATCAAGTTTCATAATAATGACAAAGTTTTCCTCTCAATTGACCTGCAAAATTTTACATATAATTGTTACATACAATAAGGGGGAGGACATTAGGAAATCTAAATCAGAAGTACATTATCTCAATAACATATATGTA